ACTTGCCCCAGGATGGAAAAGCTGCAGGAAGCAGGTGGCCTCCACACTCTGCTCTAAGCCACCAGTCTCTGGGTGGCCAGGAGGGTGGGGCCCATCTCACTCTTTACAGACCCATGGTGGGTTTCTGAACGGAACAGCTCATGGTGGTATTTGCTCACATTTAATCAGGTCCACACTTTCCATTCAAGACCTTGCCACGCCAATTCTTTGGCAAATGTTCCAGGAAGAGGGACCTGGTCCTTCAGTGTCACCTTCCCAGCTCCTGTCAAATCTACTCCCACCTGAAGTCATGGGCACTCGGCCACTGCCAATTCAGACAACTGTCTGTGGATGACAAGAGCAGCCAACTCTGCCCCTATAGGCTTCATCTCAGCTCTTAATAACCATGTCTCTGCAGCCAGGCTGATCTTAACTTCTCTGCAAGGCTTATAACCCCTATGGCCTATGCTGGGAACCAGGAGAGCCATGGTTCCTTGGCCCCAAGTTCCTCCAGTTCACTGCCTTCCTGCCCGTGCAGTGGCCCTGACAGGACACATCATACCCTGGCATGGGCATTGGGTCTTGCTTTGTCCCTCAGAGCCCTTCATGCTAACTATGCCTCTGGTCTGAGCTGCAACCTCTTTGCTCTGACTTTGTAATCTGTATTCAGAACTTAGCACCAGGAGTTCCATGGGAAGCCTGTGCAGTCTGCAGCCTGATCATGCAATCAACAGCACAACTCTTGGCTTTCAGATCATTGCCTGGCTTTGTAAGAACAAAGTCAGCTGACTGATCTATATAGCATCTCAAGAGGCTGGAGATGACATTTTCTTCTCTGAGGCAAAGTCTGGTTGGAAGAGATTCTAGGTGAAAGGTTCAGGCATTATGCTGGCCTGCCCCCATTACCTGGCAGAATCCACTCAGGCAGTACCCTGGTCAGCCCAGGGTTCCATGGGAACTAAGTCTGCACGCAGGTGCAGAGGACCCCTTTAAAAGACAGACCCCTGCCCACTATGCTCTCTTTTCCCACCTACGCTCTCTCTGTTCTTCTTCACTCTCTCTCTGCCCCTCTTCTCTTCTCTCTGCCTCTCTCTCTCAAGACCAGCCATGGCAGTCAGCCATTAACCCTGTTCCTCTTCTCTCTACTCTGTTTCTCTACTCTGCCTGGAATATAATAAACTGGTTAATATGTCTCTTAGTCTCATGTCTCATCTTGCACCTTTTTCTTTATTTCTAATTTAAACAAAAGAATAACGCTAGGTACCTGAAAGTACCCTTGAAATAATTTCCTACAAGCTGCACATCTAACACCAACTCTCTTGGCGCTGCAGTCCACTATGTCATTCCTTACCTGATGACAGTCCCTTCCCACTTGTCTTAGGGTTTCCACTGCTGTGATAAAACATCAGGACAAATATATATATATGTGTTCATTTGGTTTGCACGTTCTGATCACAGTCTATCATGAAGGGGAGGCGGGGCAAGAACTAAGGCAGAAGCCATGAAAATGCTGATCCTGGCTTGCTTTACACCGATTGCCCAGCCTGATTTCTTATACAACTCAGACCCACCTGACCAGGGAAGGCACCAGCCACAATGGGCTAGGCCCTCCCAAATCAATAGTTAATCAAGAAAATGCCCCTCTGTGTTCCCACAGACCAGTTCCCACAGAGGATCATGGGCTATGCCTCTAAGGGTCAGTGAGATGGTCAGCCTGAGTGACCACTCCTACTTTGACCAGGGGGGTGAAGTTGGAGAGTCAGGGTGTGTTCCTGCCTAAGATTAAGGAAGAACCTCTGGGCAGGCACCAGACAGTGGGATGGAGGCCAGGACACCCCAGTTCTCCCCCCTGTTCTGAGAAGATTCCAAAGAGCTCCCCAGGAACAGAGAGCCAAGAAGAGGAACTGTATCTGTCCCTTGTTCACTGCCTGGTTTGGTCTACCTCTTGCCTGCCGAGTGTTTCTTCAGCAACATTTGTTTGTTGTTTGCCCACCTCTTTGTGTCTCTTTCCATCTAGAAACAAGCATGTTAGTGCAGTCACATGTCAGGTGTTCTGGTGTTTGTGTGTGGAGCACAAGTGCTCAGGATACATTGTATTGAAGTCAGTGAGAATGTTATGTCTGTAGCAGGCATGGCCCATTCCCCATCAGTACACTCACTCTGTTTCCCCTGTGGCAATGATAGTGATATTGGTGAGAGCGCGCCAATGGCAGCCTACAGAATGTCAGCCCTGCTGGTGTAAGCACTTTGTATGTCGGTTATTAAGATTTGAATTTTTGTTTTTTATTGTCATGGGCTCACACTGTGTATCCTGTGTTGGCCTCAAACTCACGATTCTCCTACTACAGCTATAGAATTATTGAGATTAGGTTTGTAAGTCTTAGAAATCCTATAGAAGTTCCTGTTTTGAGGGCTTCCCATCCTCCACACAGCAGTTAGCACAACTGGGGCCTCTGGAAGATGACTGGATGTGAAAAGCCTGACCTCATGAATGGCTTGGTTCATTCATAGACTCAGGGCTTAAAGGCATAAAGGAGACACTTGTATAAAAACAGTTCGTTCTTTTCTTGGTCTGACTACTATGAAGCTGGCACTTCCTGTTGACTGTCTGCTTCACCAAGGCCTAACACATTGGAAATAGTGAGCCAAGATAAAATGTCCTTTCCTTATTACCTGACTAGCTCAGGAAATCTAATATGGAGCAGTGACGCTAATGCTGGAGCATCCCTGATGGTTTATGGTTCAGATACCTTTGCAGTGTGTTTGTGGGAAGTGTTTGGAGAGGTGTGGAGATGATGCAGGCTGCTTGAGAATCTGGGGAACGTTCTGAACGGAGCTTTATGGACATTGTGATTGAGACTTCACCAGAGTGATGACAAAGTTTTGATGGGACTAAGGATTCTGATAGGAGGTGGACTAGAGGGTATCCTAGTGTAATACATCCTGGAACACACACACACACACACACACACACACACACACACACACACACACACACACACACACTCTCTCTCTCTCATACACACACTCTCTCTTACATAATACACTCTCTTACATACACACATTCTCTCACACACTCTCTCTTACACACTCACACAATTCTCTCTCATACACACTTACACATACTCTCTCTCACACTGTCTCACACACATACTCTTACACACGCTCTCTCTCACACACTTTCATACACACTTTCTCTGTCTGTCTGTCTGTCTGTCTGTCTGTCTCTCTCTCTCTCTC